CATGTTCTCCAGCTCCTTCTCGTCAGGCAGCCGGAGGTAAAGCGGCTTCAGCAGCAGGACGACGGCATAGCTCACCTCCCGGACACAGCTCTGCACCGTGGAGGGCCCCACGCCAAAGAGCGGGCTCAGAGTCTGGTACTCCACGTTGGTGGCCAAGTGCCACAGGGCCACAGCCACCCTCTTCTCCAGTGGCAGGGTGGGGTGGAAGTGGGCGCTGTGCGGAGCCAGCCCAGGCCGCAGCTGGTTGCAGATGTAGAAGAAAGTCTCCTTGGACATCCGAAACTTCTCCAGCCAGTCCTGGGGCCCAAACTCCTTCAGGACCACCTGCTCCCACCAGTCCGTGCTCCTGAGGCTGGGCCAGGCGCGGGGGTAGAAGCAGCAGCTGGTTCTCCTCCTGTGAGCGATGAGGAGCTGCAGTGCAGGGGAGAGACAAGAGCGGTGTGAGACAGAGCTTCCCTGCACTTCACTGGGACCCGCTTCTGAAGGCCAGCCAGCTCAAGAGACTTGCTCAAGGCAGGAGGACGGCCAGCGCCAGGTGGCCAGTGGTCCCAACTGGTCTAACACCAGTCAAAGCTTCCTGTTCCTGGGAAACCTCCCTGCAAACCCACCAGGCAGTAGGTGTGACTCCAGACCAAATGCTCAGGTGTTGCATATGGAGTTTTCTGGAAAAGCTCTTTTCTGGGGTGGCCATTCTCTCTGGGGGTTTGTATTTTAATGAGCATAGCTGGATTTCCAGCTGTCAAGGGAACTGTGGGCTAAGTCCTGATTTAGAAGGGGGAGAGAGCATCCCTCAAAGGTGGGAATCATGATTTGGAAGGGGAAGCTCCTGGCCTCTCCAAAGGAATTGTTTTTCTGTTATTAAATTCTACAATGCAACTTTAAGCTAAAAATAAGCTTTAGTCACATTCAGCCATTGCCCAGGCCAGCAGGTTCCTCGTATTCCCTCCCAGCTTGTCCTTGCAGCCAGGGATCCCTTGTATCCCCCATTGCATCCCCCACCTTTGATGTCACCCCCATGCCCGCTGCATCCACCATCCTTTGTGTCCAGGAACACATCCCATGTCTTTCATGTCCCATCCTTTGTGTCCCTGTCTTTGTGTCCCACAGAACCCCCATGGTCCTCATCCTTTGTGATCTCTGTGTCCATGTGTCCTTTCTGTTCCACATCCTGTGTTTTGGGTCTCACATGTCCCCCACCCTTTATGTCCCCCTTGTGACTTCCCCGTGCTCCCTATCCTTCCCACCACTGTCCTTTGCATCCTGCAACCCCCCCCCCCGTCAATTTTTTCTGCTCCTGTGACTTGTGTACCCCGTGCCCCACATCCCCCATGTCCATGCGTTCCATGTCTTACGATCCCCATCCTGTGTCCCCGTAATCTGTCCCGCATCCCCCCCATCCTCCATGTCGTCGTGACCTCCGCTCGTCTCTTGTATCCCCCACCCTTTGTGTCCCCGTGATTCCAGTGACCCTCCCATCCTTTGTGTCCCCACGATCTCCACGCACCCCCCGCAGCCCCGCACCCTCGGTCCCCCATGACCCCGTCCCCGCGTGCGGTTCTCCCCGCGTCCCGTCCGGTCCCCCCCGCGGCCCCGCCCCGGTCACCGTCATGAGCCGCTTCTGCCGCTGGCTGTAGTAGTGCCGGAGCCAGGCGCGCCGCTGCGGCCCGTCCCAGCCCCCGGCGCCGGCGCCGCTCCCGCTGCCGGCGCCGCTCCCGGTGCCGGTGCCGTTCCCGGCCATGGCCCCGGCGCGCCGCCGCCGCCGCCGCGCCAGCGCGCACAGCAGCACCAGCAGCCGCTCCCGCATTTTCAAATCGGGAGCCGGGGCCGCCCTGGAAGTGATCGGCGGCAGGGTCACGGTGGCACCGGGAGGCGGGACGGGGTGGTGCCGCTCCGCTCCGCGGCTCTGCAGGGCAGCGCACAGATATGCCCATCCCCGTCTGCCGCTCACCGTGCAGACATTCCCATCCGCACCGCACCGCACCGACCTGCCCATGCCCATGCCCATGCCCACAGCACCAGCACCACCATCCCCATCCCCATCCCCATCCGCTCCTCTCCACACTGTTCTGCACAGCTCTGCCATCTCCATCCCCACCACCCTCACCAGCTCACCAAACCACACAATCCCACCATCCCCATCCTTACCATCATCCCCACCCTCACCACCATGCCCATCCCAACCCACTCATTTCCCATCTCTAGGCTGGGCTGGAAAAGGGTCACCAGGCTCAGCTGCAGCAAGGACTGGCACTACAGAAACAAGGAAAACTGCAGCAACAAAATCCCAAATCTGCCTTGGATTTGCAGGAAGGGTAGAAAAGGCTGGAAAATACTGGACAAATCTCAGCTTGGGCAGGGACTGGCACCAGAGTGACAAAAGACCCAACCACAGACAGGCAGTGCCAATGCCCTGGCGGTGCCTGGTGAAAGGGGCAAGATGAATGTGTCTTTACAAACCAACTGTGTGAATCTGCTTGTAGATAGGGCCAGGGACTTGTAGATAAGGAAGTAACTGGAGAAATTATCAGTTTCAGAAAGTGTTACTAATTCACAAGGACTGCTGCTCAGCCAAGGTCCTGCTAAATTCCTGAACATGGAGAAGAACAACAAAGACAATAGAACTATGAATGTCCTATGTTAAACAAAGGGGTGATGCATATTAGAGAGGGACACACAGTAGGCAATTCAGGAAGTTTGTACTTTCAAAGTACCTCAGCCAGTGGAGAAATGGAGATGGTGACGTGACGAAGAAAATTAGGATAAAAAGGAGGCTGCGTCCCCCAACAATTTGAGAGGCCCCATGGGAAATGCCCCATGGTCTCTCTCTTTGTTCATGAATAAAGTTACAGGACTCCTCTGTCTCCTTTCTGGACATAAACCTCTGGTATCTTGAATTTTTCTGTACACCTGGGAGTAATGGCAGGGCTTGGATGGTACCCCAAAAGTGGTGCCTACTCTCCCAAAGTCTGTTGGTTTTCTGGATGTGCCATGGCAGGGCAGATCCCACAGATCTCCTGAGACAATGGAGAATGTGGGAATGCCTGCAGGCAAGTTGCTGTGTTCCTCATGGCCTGAGCCCAGGATCTCTTAGAGGGAATCATCTTCAGTTCTGGAGGCACTTTGGGCACACAAGATCAGAAGGATCCAAAGAATCCATCACCCATAAGGGTGTTGGAGAGTGTCCAAAAGAGGGACACAGAGCTGGGGAAGGCTCTGAGGAGCGGCTGAGGGCACTTGGCTCGTTCAGCTGGAGCACAGGAGACTGAGGGGAGGCTCCTCGGGGGCTGCAGCTCCTCCCCAGGAAAGGCAGAGGGGCAGGGGCTGAGCTCTGCTCTGGGACAGGGACAGGAGGCCAGCAAGGGCTGGAGCTGTGCCAGGGCTTGGCATGGAGCTCAGGGAAAGGTTCTTGCCCCCGAGGCTGCTGGCACTGCCCAGGCTGCCCAGGGAATGGTCCCGGCCCCAAGGCTGCCAGAGCTGCAGGAGCGTTTGGACAGCGCTGCCAGGGTGCTCAGGGTGGGCTTGTTGGGGTGCCTGTGCAGGGACAGGGGCTGGGCTGATGATCCCTGCTCAGGATATTCCAGGAGTCTATGAATGATTCTGTTCTTTCTCAGGACTGCAGTTATCAGCTGTTTCTTGTTGAAAATTGTTGCGGTGCGTTTTGAGGTGGGGGCACCCCGGGGAGGTCCCTGGAGGGCCCCCTAGGCTGTGAGCTGGCTGGCAGCAGCAGGCAGGCAAGGAGACTCCACACGGCTTCTGAGGGTGCTGAGCAGATGAAGGTTTATTTGGGGTCCCAACCCCGGGTACAGCATGGTTACTGAGGGAAAAGGGGGGAAGGGGGAGGGAGGGGGAGCCTCGGGGAGGGAAGGGGCAAGAGGGGGGAAGAGGCTGAGAGAAAGGAAGGGCTCAGACCCAGACTGATCCCCTAGCACAGCTTAAGAGGGGAATTGAAGTGGGCGCGGAATCACATTGGGCCAATGGGATGACAGATGCAGGATGGTTCAGGGCAGGACCACAGGCTTAGAATATACCATACATTTCGGAGGGGTGAGACAGAGCATACCATTTAAATAAAATGGAATACAACAGAAAATAACATACAAGGGGGCCTTAAAGAGAGATTTGATTATTATGGGAGGCTGAGCTGCATGACTGATAACCTGGCAGTCCAAGGTTAATATCAGGGATTGCATGCAGCTCGCTGCACTGCTGCAGTAGGAACAGAATGGGTGGCTGTGCTAGGCAGGGTAACAGTGAGAACTGGTCACCAGAGCATGGCAGATGGACAGTCTGCAGGGAGACACCCCTCTGGCCCCCAGCAGGCACCCCAGCCCCCGGCACCAGCCCCTCTAGGGCATGGACAGGAACTGGGGGGTTCCAGCACACACCAGTGCTGAGAAGGGCACAGGGTTGTGTCCTCCTGCAGCACCTGCTCCTGGCTTCTCCCAGGCCATGCGGGGGGAGCTCCATGCTCCTCCCATGAGCTCTGGGGGAGCAGCAGCGCCAGTGCCCTCCCAAGAGGGGGACGGACACACAACTGGCTTCCCCCCACTCACCTCACAACTCACTGGGAAGAGCAACGGGGATCAGAGACCAGGAATGGCAGAGACACAGACACTCTGTGGGATCGTGGGGCGCCCTACACTAAGGCACAGACCATCTCTGGGGGGGCACAGGAATCCCACACCCTCTGGAGGGGCCAAGAACAACCCCCAGAACCCAAGGGGCTCCCCAAGGACCTGAGGAGCCCCCTTAAGGACCCAAGAACCCCTTCAGGGACCAAGAAACTTCCACTAAGGAGCCCCCCAAAGACCCAAGTACCCCCTTAAGGACTCAGAAGGCCCCTCAGGGACCCAGCAGCCCCGGGCCCGGTGCCCTCCCGGCAGGGACACAGACCCCGGAGCCCAGCCATGACGTCATGTCCCGGCTGTGACGTCAGCGGGGCCGTTGCCATGGCGCCGCGCGCCGCCGCTTCCTGTGTGTATTCGAAGCGGAGGGCGGGGCGCGCTCCCGTCGTGCCCCGCGCGGGGGCGGGGGCGGCCGCCATGTTGTGGAGCGGCGGGGCCGGCGGGTGCTGACGGAGGAGGCGGAGCTGGGCCGGGCCGGGCCGGCTGGTGGCACCGGGACCGGAGCAGGTACGGCCGGGGCAGCGCCCGGGGCACGGTGCGGAGCACGGCTTGGCACGACACGGCGTGGCGAGGCGGGAGGCCTGAGGCAGGATTGGGCCCCGCACTTCCCCCGGGGGCACGGGCCTGTGGGCCGGGCCGGGCTGCGCGGAGGGGCCGGGCCGGGCCGGGCGGGGCTGGGGGTGCCTTGCCTCCTTTAGTCCCTTTCTCCCTCCCTCTCTCCCTCGGCAGCCGGTCACCGAGCAGCCACGCTTCTCTCTCCCCGCCCGTTGCGGCCGGGGATGGCCCCAGTCTGTGCCGGTTCCTGCGGGCCCAGGCGGGCTGCGCCCCGTCACGGCGGGGCCGGTGAGCCCCAACGCTCCGGTGTGTTTGGTAACGGGCATCCAGCTCCTGCAGCCGGGGCCGGGGCTGTGCAAAGCAGCTGGAAGCTCGCGGTGTAAGCCCTTCGCTCCGTCCCTGTGCCCTCGCCCGCTGGGGAAAGACGCAAAAAACCGGATCCTGGTTTAACTCTGGATTCTTGATCAAGTTGATAACACAAACGGTAACAGAGATTTCAGTGGTGTGGATCTGCCAAGCAGCAGCAGAAACTTTGGCCAGCAGGCTGTTGTTTACGTACAGCACGGATGGATGTGCCCCTGCCCACCCGATGGCTCTGGGGTCTGAGGGAGCTGTTGCCGCTGTGTGTTTCATCAGGGTGTTTGTAACCTCTTGTTGACACTTTGCACGTGGGATTTGTATGCAGGATCAGCCTGAGCTGAAGGTTCTCCAGGTGGTGAGAAGGTGCTACTGGGGCAGGGAGGTTTCTCAGGTCACATTGGTGTCACCTGGGGAAGGTGGTGTTGGATTCATGGCATGGGCATGCAGGATTGTTTTGTCTTGATTTGTAGCTCTGTTGAGGGCTTTGTGCCCATTTTCTTGTGAGGTGCTGGTTCTTCCTGCTTGTATTTAATGGTAACATCCCAGTATTTTTGCTGAAGGTTCTTCAGAGAGCAGTTGTGCTGTGAGCAACAAAACCTCATTGCAGAATTGTAGAACCTGAAGGAGCCAACAAAAAAGATGGAGAGACTCTGTACAAGAGCCTGGAGGGACAGGACACAGGGAATGGCTTCCCACTTACAGAAGTCAGGACCGGATGGGCTATTGGGCAGGAATTGTTCCCTGGCAGGGGGGGCAGGCCCTGGCACAGGGTGCCCAGAGCAGCTGTGGCTGCCCCTGGATCCCTGGCAGTGCCCAAGGCCAGGCTGGACAGGGCTGGGAGCAGCCTGGGACAGTGGGAGGTGTCCCTGCCATGGCAGGGGTGGGATGAGATGAGCTTTAAGGTCCCTTCCAACCCAAACCATTGTGGGATTCTATAATTTTGTATTGGTCTGATTTTGGTTTTTTTGATTGTTATAATTAATACAGAAGCAGAGTTTTCTGGGCTGTTGACTGATGCTGTCATGTTTTGTAAATTCTATGGTGTATTTTTGTAGTTTGTCCAGGGGCACCGTTGCATCTTCAGTGCTTTAGGTGTTATGATGAAGCAGAGTTTTGGATGCCTAACCTTTCAGTGAAGCTCTCAGGACAGGGGCTGGTGAATTTTTAATCTTTGCTTATAGTGCACCGACTTCTCCTTTACTGGAAGCCTTACCAGAGTGTGTATCTATAAAACTGCTGCTTTTAGCTGTCTTTACCCACTGGAAGTACAAGATAATTGGACAGCTGTCTTCTGTGGATTTTTTGAAGGGAAACTGAATGTTATTAAAGTCAGTAGCCATATGAAAAATGCTTAGACAGAGAATAGAAACTACTACACAGATGCAAACAAAAAGCCCTGAAGGTTCTGTAAGTTGTTATAAAATGCAGACTCTTTAGGCTTTTCTTGTCCTTTTTTCTGCTTGTAAGTCAGTCCTCTTGGAGTCTGGAGAGACCGACGTGTAAATCCTTAGTAAAAACCTCCCTAAGATTCACTCTCTCCATCCCCACTTCCTTTTTATTAGGCCCCTCCAGGTTCAGTCCTGTGCCCAGTGTTGTTTAACTTGTTCATCAGTGGTTGAATGAAGGGCTTGGTGCCTCCCCAGCTGCTGACACAAAGCAAGAGCAGTGGCCAATCCCCCCCAGAGCTGTGCAGCCCTGCAGAAGGGCCTCGACAGGCTGCAGAGGTGGGCAGGAAGGAACTGTTAGAACTTCAGCAAGAGCAAGTGCAGGATCCTCCACCTGGGGGGAGGAGTGACCCCAGTCCAGGCTGGGGGCTGGAGAGCAGCTGCAGAGAGCCCTGGATGAACAGCAGCCATGTGTCCCGGGGCCAAGGGGCTGTGCTGTGCATGGGGAAGAGCATTGCCAGCAGGCTGAGGGAGGTGATCCTGCCCCTCTGCTTGGCCCTGGTGAGGCACATCTGGAGTGCTGTGTCCATTTCTGGACAGGAGGGACATGGAGCTCCTGGAGTGGGTCCGGTGGATGCTGCAGAGATGCTGAAGGGACTGGAGCAGCTGTCCCTTCAGGAAAGGCTCAGTGAGCTGTGTCTGTTCCGCCTTGAGAGGAGACACAGCTGAGAGAGGAGCTCAGCCCTCATCCTCTCTCTCGGTGTCTGCAGGGAGGGCTCAGAGTAGAGACCAGGCTCTGCTCCGTGGGGCCCAGCAGTGGGACAAGAGGAAGGGGCAGGAGCTGATAGCTGGGAAGTTCCACCTGAGCATGAGGAAGAACTTCCCTGTGCAGTGACTGAGCATTGGAACAGGCTGCCCAGGCAAGGTGTGCAGTCTCCCTCACTGGAGGTATTCCAGAAGTGTCTGGACACAATCCTGTGCCATATGTTCAGGATGACCCTGTTTAAGCAGGGGGGTGGGACCAGATGATCACTGTGTTCCTTCCAACCTGTCCCATCCTGAGATTCCGTGTCACGCTGGGATATGCAGGGCAGTGGTGGTGTCCCCATCCCTGCAGGGACTTAAGAGACATGTGGATCTGGCACTTGGGGGGGCATGGTTAGTGGTGGCCTTGACAGTGCTGGGGGAACAGTTGAACTCTGGTCTTACAGGGCTTTTCCAACCTAAATGATTCTTTGAATCTACGCAGAATAATTAAATAAGTCAATGTCTTTTAGGTGATTACCAAAATAGGTGCCATTATATGCTGGTTGAAAGCAGAACCTTTGTTTCTCCTGTCTGTCCAGTGACTTGTACAAAATGTGTTTGTGTGGGGAAAACTGCCTCCAGGTGAGGGTGGAAACAGAAGTGCTGTGGCTGTAACTGGCCCTCTGTGGAGGCCAGTGACTACCCAGAGCTCAGCTCCTGTATCCAAGGGGAATTCTGGGGGCCAGGCACTGTGGAGAGAACTGTGAGCTTTGATCGGGCCCTGCCTCGTGAGAGGCACGTGTTTGGCACTGGTCATGTCCGGGACTGAGATGAAATCTCAAAGCAGAGCATTGTAAGGTTAGTGCATGACCTTTCCTTGGCAAGAAGTACCTTGGGGGAATCATACCCAGCCCCTTCCCCAGTGCAGGCTTTAGCCTCCAGCCCCTGCAGAAGGGATGGGGTTCTGGGCTGTGCTGCCTGAGCACACGGGGACCAGCAGGAGCCTCTTCCACTGGCAAATGAGCAGCAGAACTTGCTCAGCACTTCGTGTTTCTCAGGCAAGACCTGCTGGGGCTGAACCTGCTCCTCACCCCAGCCCTTGGTGCATCCCTGAGCCAGGTGATGGCCAGCACAGCCCAGGGGTGCAGGTGCTGCTTCACCAGGTGCCTTGGCCAACTACTGCATCTCTGAAACAGGAGTGTTCCTGTTGGTGCCTCTTGTTTGTTTTGCTTTTGTAGCAGGTAAACCTCTTTAAGGAGACTTCCTGTTACTTAGGGTCCTTTTGGCCCATGGGCAAGAGGTACCATCAAAGTGACCCCATGTGTTGTGCTTTGTTTCCCAGTGGAAGGCTTTCTGTGCTGCTGAGGGCTTCATGCTCTATTTTGTATTTCCTGGGAACAAGTGTGTCCCTGTTATTTACAGAGCATCATGGTGAAAAGGTGAAATAATCACCACCTGCAAGCAATAAAAAAGGGGCTTAATAGTGGTGATTTTCTGAGAAATCCCCTGCTGAGTGCGTGGTTGTCATGTCTGCTTGGATAAGCTCTGCACTGCAAAGAGACAATGGTACTCTGCAGTGGGATGTGTATTGAATGAAAACGTCATTTATGAAGGTAAAATAACAACCCTACAATTCTCGTGGCTTATTAAAAACTGGCTGAGGCAGATTTGGAACCCCTCAGCAAGGGGCCTGGCTGCTGTGTGGCTGCATCGGTGGGGTGGCTGCTGCTTCTGATCACTGTAGTTGCTATGACTTGTATTTGAGTTTTAGTTGAAAGGTTGAAAATAGCCTGGTCTTTGGAGTACAGACTTGACTGTCATCTTCTCTTTTTTTTTTCCTTTAGTTGTGGAGAAAAAAGGGATTTAGGAAAAACATCTATGCTGAAAGCAATGGTGATACCTGAGCATCATCTGTGTGAAAGGCAGCAAGAGTCATGTTCATGGGCTTTATGGAGTATCCTCTTCAAGGAGCACTTGCATTTAAGAGCAGCTGTTGTGCATACAGAAATTCTGGTGAAAACCTCTTGGGCTTGTAGTGGTGTACTGACAAGATTTATTAGACATTAGGAAAAAATGGTTCCTTTTGAGGGTGGGCAGGCCCTGGCACAGGGGGCCCAGAGCAGCTGTGGCTGCCCCTGGATCCCTGGCAGTGCCCCAGGCCAGTTTGGCCAGGGATTGCAGCAGCCTGGGGCAGGGGATGAAACAAGATGAGGTTTAAGGTGCCTTCAAGCCCAAACCATTCTGGGATTCTGTGATTAGTGCTGGCAGTGTTTATCTTTGGTAAAGGCCCTCCCAAAGACAGAGATTTTGCTGTTTCCTGAAGGTCTTACAGCCCTGAGTTTCTGCTGGCTCATGATAGTCCAGGCCACAAGCAGAGCTCTGTGTCATGAGCATTGCATCCTTGGCTCCTGCAGGCTTCCTGCAGCCTCGGTCATCAGAGTGCCCTAAATTTTTGTGGTT